TCCCCCCCCCCCCCCCCCCCCCCAAAAAGCCAATGTAATTAATAATAATAACCAAAAGTGCACTAATGAATTATGGACCACACTCTGGGGATTAGTCTTCAATGGAGGGTCCGTCTCCTGAAGAATTTAGCTCCAACCCCAATTAAACACACCTAAACCAGCTAATCAAGCTCTTACTAGACATAGAAACTTCCAGTCAGGTGTGTTGAGGCAAGTTGGAGCTAAACTCTGCAGGACACCGGCCCTCCAGGACCGAGTTTGAGCACCCCTGATATACACAGTAAACCGCAGCTAACAACACACTGCCTGTCAGACAGGAAACTGACCAGTAGGTGGCGGTGTTCAGGCATGATGAAGATCGTGTGTGCGCGAGCGAGAGAGAGAGAGAGAGAGCTAGAGAGAGAGAGAGAGAGAGAGAGAGAGAGAATGAGAGCGAGAGAGAGCGAGAGTGCGAGTACGAGAGAGTGAGAGAGAGAAAGAGAGAGAGGGTCACATCACAGTGGAGTCAGCTGTCTTAACCGTGAAAAATAATGTGTTTTTTGAACATTAAAGCATGTCAACATATTCTGTTACACCAAATACACAAAATAATGATCTTTAAAAAAAGCATCATATGACCCCTTTAATCGGGATTTTTGTCTAATTTTCTCATATAATATTAAAACATCCTTTTAACCATATAGATTTACTTGAGAAGCCAAACTGCATTAAATAAGGCTTGTTCTCAGAAAATAGTTTATTTACTTAGTTACATATTAATTTGTTTAATAAAAAATGCATATTGTGAAATATAACAAATTACTGTTAAGTAACTGTTTTTTAAATATATTTAAAAATGGAAAGAGCCTTTTTTCAGCAACCATTACTCTAATCTTCATTGTCTAATATGCTTTGGATGCTCAAGAAGCATTTCTTATTTTTAGCAATGTTGAAAATATTTTGATATGTTTATGAAAACTACCATTCAAAAGTTGTTTTTTTTATTTAAATTTTTTTTTTTTTTACTTCAAAATAAGTCGAAAATAATTCTATTTCGATTAAATGCTGTTCAATTAACTTTCTACTCATTAAAGAATCCTAAAAGAATTTTATCACCGTTTCCACAAAAAGCATCAAAGACTGTTTTCAACATTGATAATAATAAAAGACATTATTATTAATTGAGTATTTTATTAATTCTGCCATAACAGAAATAAATTACATTTCAAATATATATATTTATTAGAAAATGGTTATTTTAAATTGTAATAATATTTCAACATATTACTTTTTTTTTTACTTTTCCTTAATATTACTTTATTTTCTTACCCCACTGGGAAATTTAGTGTGGTTTATGCTGAAAATAAAACAAGAAACAGTTTGTTGATTATAATGGGGCTCTGAGTGCAAGACAAAGACAAACACCTGGTGATCATATTAGTGTGAGTTTCAATTTTTAAATGTTCTCTCACATTTTATTCTTTCCTCATTCATTAGGAATACTTTATACTGCTAATCCTGACGGATGGAGTGATCACAGATATGGCGGATACACGAGAGGCCATCGTCCACGCATCCCACCTGCCCATGTCCGTCATCATTGTCGGCATAGGCAACGCAGATTTCAGCGACATGCAGATGCTGGATGGTGATGATGGAATCCTCCGCTCTCCTAAAGGAGAACCCGTCCTGAGGGACATCGTGCAGTTTGTGCCCTTCCACAACTTCAAACATGTGAGTAAAAACAGAAGTATCTTAGTTCACCCAAAAATAAATTCTGTCATTATTTGCTCTCACTCACATTGTTGGAATAAATAATGACAAAATATTTCCACACTTCTCTTTGTATTCACATTTGAATTCATTTTAAAAGAATCCTGTCAGGATCTGGTGAAACCGTAAACATAGAAAGCAAAACCTGAAAGTTTTAAGGGATTACTAACAAGTCAAAGCCTAATGAACAGATGTTTCTAATGAAGAGGAATGCATCATACCATGTTTGGTGATTTAAGAAACTGTATGGTACCTCTGGTCAGGGCATAGTCAGGAAACCAGACTACAAGAGGATGCCGTACATCTAAAGGCATCCAGGTTTCTTTTCATCTCTCTCTTCTCTCAGGTCAGTGCGTTGCTCTCACAGCTGTCTCTCTGAGCTCCAATAACAAGCATGAACAGAGGGAAGGAAAACATCAAAGCTCTTAGATTTTACAGGCCTGTGTTTAGTTTAATTAAGGAGTGTGAAATCGTTCGTGTAGAACAGTCTTCATTATGAAAGTGTTTTTTTAAGAGACGTTAGGCGTATTCTGTCCTGCTTTAACCCAGCGAAATTCCTGCCGCTGAAGCGGAGTTCATGCAAAGTTCCGTTTTTTTTTATTCCATTTTGTAAAAATTTTTTTGTCCTGTAAATCCTATGTGAGACAATAATAATAATGAGACAAAATTGTCTTTGTTTTTTTTTAATAATCTCATAAAACAAAGCCTGGTATATCATTATTATTATTACTGATTCAATGTTTTTCATGAATATTAATTTAGTCATTTATAAATCATTTATTGTCAATATAAAAGTGACAGCTGTGAGAAAGAAAAAATGGAATGCATCGGCACCAACACATGAGAGAGACCTGATTCATAATTAATTTCAATACAGTAACATTAAATTGTAGCTAAGCTAATAGTGCATACATTTTTTTATGGCCCACACAGAAATTTGAGCTTTTTACAATGCTTAACTGTTTAGATTTTTTTTTTTTGGAATTGCATGAAATATTTGTTTCTAATCAGCAACATCACACTGCCCACCCTCTTCTAGGATTAATATTGATTTGGGTTAAACTGATGCAGTGATTGCTTTTAAAGGAGTAACACTTTTCAATAGAGGTTTTCAAATTGAGGGGAAAGAAATGTGGTCTATGGAATAGTTAAAACATTTTTTAAATGTATATAAAAATTATTATTTGCATTATTTATTGTTTTATTTTTTTAAAATGTAATTCTTATTTTTGTGGTAATTTAAAAAGTATTATTATTATTTCTTCTTGGCGTAACCTCTGCATTATTTTTTCAGATTCTTTTGTGGTTATGTTTTAAAAACAATTTCAGCTGTTATGTAACTGGTGATGTAGTTGTGCTTTTTAAATCTTCAGGTTTTTCATTTGATTTATTGAACCTTTTGTCTAAGGCTTCTTGTGCAATAAACTCCAGAGAAGGGTTTTGTTTTGATTTTTTCTTCAGTCTGGAAGACGTCTGTAAGGAAACCTGCTACCTCAGGTCAACTTCTGCAATATCACACAATTCATAAATATAGCGCAAATCTGAAGGTGTGAAGTTGGCTGTCCGATACGAATACTTTGGCGGGAAACTGAGCGTGTGTGTGTGTGTTTATTTTTAGTACTGTCCTGCTGAGTTTTCTCTGGTCTGTCTCCACCTTTTTTGCGGACGGAGTGAAATAGTAGTGACTCCTTTCCTGTATCACCTACTCAAGCACAAGAGAGTGTGAGATTTCATCTATATTCCATTCTCTCATCCTTCCCTCCATCTTTTCTTCCACACAGGCCTCTCCTGCAGCGCTGGCTAAAAGTGTGCTGGCTGAGGTTCCCAATCAAGTGGTAGATTACTACAATGGAAAAGGCATCAAGCCCAAATGCCTGTCGGATTTTGAGTCTTCCAGAGCATTCAGTCCCTGAGCTACACACAGCCATATTCGTCTCAACTTCAAGATATCTTCATTGATCATTTCAGAGCTTGCTGCATTAGTGTAAGCATCGACAAGCAGGTCCATCCTTGTTTTTTTTTTTTTTGGTCACTCAGGTTTCCAATAGCATTGGGCAAAAATGTCCTTAGCTGTCCATATTTTCTTTTTACGCAGTTGTTAGTTATATTAAAGGTGCGCTCAGTCATTTTTTGTTTTTGCTTCCCTGGCTAATATGGCAGTTGTCTTGGACCTAAAGTCACCATGAAATCAAAACTGACTTGAATGCAATATTGCAGTGATTAGAAATGATATATCTGTGCACATCATTATTTTTCATGTACCCTCGTAATCTTTTTAATCAATATAACTTCCCTTCTCCCTCGCAAGTGTAACGGAGGACAGGCTTTTGTTACCTTTTGTTTTGTTGATATTATTACTGTTATTTTGGTGGACCTGCTATACAAGGGCTATATAGTCCAATATAGCATAATATTCCAATGCGTAATAGTTTAGGAGGCAAGTTATTAACAGTTATTGGCCAGTGCATGACCAGTGCTCAGTTAGTAAACACTGTTAGTCCTTTATAATCCAAAGTGCAACCATTTTATTGCTTTATTCAATTTACCTGCAAAAAGTTTGTGGTCGGTAAGATTTTAATGTTTTTTCTAAGAAGTCTCCTATGGCTTGCTTACCTACCCACCCCAAACGTTTGAACGGTAGTGTATTTATTTTAAAACTTATTTTTAATGTGAGGCCTTTATGACTTACAATTGTTACATACAATTAAGTGTATTGTGTATATAGCTCTATAAACATATTTATTTGAAAGCATGTGGAATGGATTCTGTGAATACAGTATTTACAGTATTTAGGCATTCTTTGTTTTTGTTCTTTTCTACAGGTTTCTTGACATTTGTTTTGCATAATTTCTTAACATAATCTAACATTATAAAGTTCTTTCAGATGTTTGGATATAGTAGATGTGTGTTTCTGGTGCTGTATTAGACACATTTCTCTTTTTCTTTTATGCATTTTTTCTTTCCTTCTTTCTTGGAGCGTGTGTGTATGTACAGTATTCTTGCTTACTACCGAAACCAGGACTGTATTTTGCATGTTGCCAATTAAAAAAAAAAGTTTTTCCCACTTTTGTTTCTCAGCTTTTTGTTTGTGTTCACTGGATGCACTTGCTCAGCATCACATTACAAACACCCAAAGTTCTCTCACACCCAGTAATATTGATCTAGAGTTTCTGTTTAATGCTACAATACTGTAATTCACTAAATGCTAAATTTAGAGGGATGCTTGAATGTATTGAAAGGCTCTTAACATGCATCAGAAGACCTTGAGAAATGGAGTCCTGGAGGCGTGATCGACTCTTTGAGTCAGAGGAATCTTTGAAGTCTAAACACAAACATGCACACACTTCTCTCCACACATCCACACAGCCTTTCAATTAGCTCCATCATGTATAATTAAACACTCGGATCACCAGAACAAGACCAGGGGATATCAGGAGAAAATTATATCATGTCATTTATCATATCCTACAGGTCCATTAGTCAAAGATTCAGCAGATTATTTATTGCTAGTGATTTTGCTGATACGTTCTCATTCAAAACAACTTACAGTAGGGAATGAAATCTGAGGTTGAATGTCTTTCACAAGGACACAATATTGCTAGGAGACTCCCATTAAATATCCATTTCATGAATATTCACAAATGCATCTTTTAAATAATAAGCATGAATATTAACTAAAGTGAATATTCACATAAAATACTGCAGTTTTGATTCACTTTGGTTCACTTTTCAAAGCTTTTGTTTGAAAGTTTAATATATATATATATATATATATAGCTCAGTTTAGTTTAGCAATGCAGCTCATATTCTATTCAATATATCAAGGCGTGAGAACCAGGCGTAAGTGACATTTTGGGCGAAATGGAGATATATATACCAAATGAAAGCTCTTGATGAGCTCTTTCTACTGCCAAAAGGACACACGTGAATTCTTAATAATTTTGGAGTTATTCATTAGAAACCAAAAGACTTAACACTGAACGTACTAACCCAGTTGGAGCCAAAAGGCGTAGCTGCACTTATGCCCCTTTGGCAATGAGAAATGTATTGTGGCTACTGGCTAAAGCCTGTGGATAGCACTTGAGTCAAAATGGCTGACGCCACATGTAAGCCAGGTAGGTCAATCATAGGAAGAAACCAGTTTTTTACTGCTGAAGATGTAATATTAATCTTATTTTGTGACAAAGTACTGGATGATGAGGGAGAAAATGAAATATCCAGAATTCATTGTCAGTGAGGTGTAGCTAGCTAGCGGGTAGTAACCAATAATAACTTACATTCTGATGGTATGCCCCTAGTGATAAATAAATATACTAAAATGTATTTGAAATACATTTATTTCATGCTAAGTATACTACAAATACATTTACATATTTATGTACTTAATAAAAATACCCTGCAATGGTACTTTTTGTATACTAATCTGGTATACTTAATTAAAGTCTGCTAAATTGGAACAATTTAAAATGTTGTGCTTAATGCACTTTAATTGTGCTGAAGTAGTGCTGAAATCAAAATGAAAATATACTGAAGCATATTTGATTGTGCTAAAGTGGAATTATTGCAAGTATACTTCAGGTACACTTTAAATATCTTGCATTTAAAGACCATCATAAATAGTGAAATTAAAAAAACATTTTAGGCTTAATATTGAGAAATGTGCATAGTGCACAAGTAGTAGTCCAATTAATTATAATTGTTATATCAGTAAGTCTTGAGCAATGTGTCAGTAAATATTTTAATAGAGTTGAACTATACTTAGTTAAATATATAACATTTTTAATTTATTATTATTATTATTATT